AATTATTAATACAAAGATCGAACACTCAGAAAAAATTCCTTCGATCCAGCTGGATTCGAACCGACGTCTTCCAGCATACCGTGTCAGACGCTATACCAATTATAACTTTATCATTTCAGTTTCTATCTACTTTATAATAAAATACAGTAATCTTTACTTAATATTATTACGATTGAAACAAATATTGTTTGTTTTTAATCTATCTTAACTAATTTAGTATTTCTTTTTGTTACCTGATTGTGAGAGTAATTAAAAATGATATGCACGTAACGTTGAAACTGAAATGTCACAATATCTATGTGAAACGATATCGAGTATATACCAGAAATAGAGACGAAGTGTCATTTAATTTGTTTGAAAACTATTCTGCCAAATCATTACGGTGACAACTGCACTCCGATTGACCAGCCCGAATTCGAAACAATTGACGGGCATTGTCAATTACTTCACTTCAAATTCACCAGTTTAACTTCGGCTTTGCTATAATGGACGAAAAGTGCAAAATAACATATTATTTAATATTTAATTACCGATGAAATGTGATTCCGTTTGTTTTGTAATTAGATGTTTTGCCGTTTTTTCCACACCACCGAATGGAACAGCCCCCATTGTTGGAGATATTATTATCTTTATTACAATAAATACAGAATATTTTTGGAATATACGGAGACGTACACGCAGGCCATTTGTTGGCGCTGTACTATTTCAGTTTTCTAATTTGTGATTTCAGCGCAAACGAGAGTCGATATTTAAAAGTGATATAAGGACTACTGACCTTCTATAGAACCAAGAAAAGGCTAAGGTGAAGGAGAAACCGGTACTAAAGAAGCTAAATCTAACCGGTTTCCCCACACGAGTTTTGCAATCTCAGTCAGATCTGTCAAAGCTAATGTACGCGCGTACACATGACGTACGTTTAGTCGATATGTGTCCGCCAGAACACCGAGACACATCCGCCATTGTGAAAAATTAACCCGCCTTTTTCATTCGTAATTATTATTTTCTGTTCAATATCTTTTTATTATTAACGTCATTGTTGTATTTAAATTCTTGTGATATTGTAATTGAATTTAATTTCTGGTGATATAGTGTGGTATAAATTCATTGATTTTTTTAAAGTCTCGAACGTTTTCGATTTCGAGATTGTTTGGTTTCTATGTTTGCGAAAGCATAAAGTGTTCATGATTAAAGTTTTATGAGTAAGTATACGTAGTTTTGTATTTTAATTTTTATATAATCCAATTTAATTTTTAATTAATATACATTTAATTCGTATAATCTGTTGTCGTCATGTAAATTATACATACGTACAGGGTATGCCAATAACCCCGTGTATTATTAGCATTTATTTTATGATTTTTTAATAATCCATCAATTTTTACTTTCGTACGACAATAGAAATATTTAAATAGACCGCTCTAAACATTGACTTACAAATAAATGGACGACGGGTCTAATACAAAAACCACGAAAAAAATGCTCAAGTCAACCTATTCGAAATTTAAATTGTAATGTCATCGCAGTATCGCGCTGTCAGTAGAACAAATGAAGACTAAAGCGGAGTGTCGCGCTCTGTATACGATTTTAGCGCCTTAAAAGTGCGGACACTTTTTAGCGCGGACCCGACGTCCATATAATTGTAAGTCAATGGCTGTAAACGATGAAAAAGTAAATGCGGTAAAAAAAGAAAGTGAGGGTTGTCAGTGAAGATGCTTGCACGTTAATTGACTACCAAATACAGACAGATATAAAAAGTGTCGGATATTGCAACATAAAACTTAAAAAGTTTGTTTTTGGTAAATTTATAATGTTTTGTAAAAAGTCATGGGACAAAAGTTGTTGTTTATGATATTAGCTTAGAATAATAACGCATAGAATGATAGTTTCATATCAAACGAACTGTCACAAGTGAGGCAAAAATCGGATTCATGTAGGCTAGTTTTAGTAGTAGGTTAATTTTCGGTTTTAGTGAATATTTATATAAAAATACAAGTTGAAACGCGTTACTTCCTTGTGGAATGTGATGTTAGTATCTATTTTACGTTTGTCTGACGTATTTTTACACTCATTTACCGCACATTTCGGCATTTTTAGCTAAAATTCTGGAGCTGTTCGCGGTGCAAGTTGACCTTGAGCACTGAAGGCCCGCCCGCTCGTGTAGGCCCATTGGGCGCGCTTCAATTTGCCTCACTTAGCGTGTTCGGACTAGGTTTCTATGCGTTATTATTCTAAGGATATTAGTAATAGATATAATCCTGGGAGATTCTTAAAATCACAATGTATAGAAGCAGAAGAGGTCCTTGTGAAAGAGATCGTCCTGAGAAGTATTCACTATCTTACCTATTTCAACCGCCAAGCAGTAATGTTAATTACTGCGTTTCGGTTTTAAAGGGTGCTGGTGAAATCACAGGCACATAAGACTTTTCAACTTGGGTCTCAAGGTGACCGACGCAGTGGCAGTGCCCCTCAGTTTCAGGTGATTGAAAATTCTGAGCTTCACTGCAACTGTCATAGACAGGCGTGTCGCTTACCGTCAGCCGCACGACTTGTTCGTCCCGTCACTTGGTAACATAAAAAACGCCGCGTGGTTTCCGGCTTAGAATTGAGCCACACCCCTACTCTTCCCGCGGGTGTTGTACAAGGCGACCGAATGAAATCGGATGATCTCCAATGTACTAAGTCTGCTTGGTCGTGACAGACGATCATAATTTCACAAATCACATGATGCAGCAGGGTAATGCGTAACACCTTGTCTACCAGGATCAATGTAGTGGTTTACGACCTTTTGCTGCGTCCCAAACACTGCCGATAGTGCTGTGTTGACAGTCCATTGGACCACAGAGGAGCTACCACGCTAGGAAATTGTCTCAAAGGGTCGCTAAAGAGGACTATGTACATATCATAAAAAATACTATATTCAATTTACTGTAGCTAGGCATTGACTTACAAATAAATGGACGACGGGTCTAATACAAAAACCACGAAAAAAATGTCCCAACTCAACCTATGTAAACGTAGTGACATGTCAAGGAATATGAAAAAGCTAAAACGTTGAATTTAAATTGTAATGTCATCGCAGTACTGTCTAATTTTGCTTGCTTCGCTGTCAGTCGAACAAACGAAGACTAAAGCGTGAATGACGCTCTGTATACGATTATAACGCCCTATAAGTTCGGACACTTTTTAGCGCGGACCCGACGTCCATATAATTGTAAGTCAATGTAGCTAGGTAATTGAAAACACAATAAACCTCTATATCGTAACCCTTGGTATAATAATAGCCACATGTGATCATAGACAAAACTGCTTTTGTTACGTGATAGTCATAAAAATAATGCAAATTACGTGAAACGAATTAAGTATGTGAAATTTTAGAAATTTTTCGAAGTTTTCAAGTGCGTTTTACTTACCTACGTAGTAATAAATATATTCTGTACTTTTGATTCTATTATTTGTAACCGAGTTCAAAAAAGGTGGAGGTTCTCATACAGTCTAATGACTGATTTTGATGATTCCTTTTTGCTGGAAAGAGAGTACCTCAGTAGTTCCATTTAAATTGAAAGAAAATATTCCACCTCTAAGGTAAAACTATGGGATTAATGACTTAATTCAGGTCGGTTTTTTTAGTACTTGGTACCTAAGTTATGATACGTACCATTGGTATAATAGCCCCCTGTGATCATACGTCAAGTATGTCAATTAAATGTGTCAATAGAACTAAAACGAGCGTAATAACTGCGATTGTTGAGCTATTGCAATTAAATTTTAATTCTACTCATAATCGAGTTTTTAGGTTTTCGCGTTTGTTACACATTGGAAATGAAAATATTTTTTTGGGATCTGTATCTCGTGTACTGAGATGGTGGAAGAGGTGGCTCATTTTAATTAAAGCACTCCTAGCCTGCTCTTTGCGACATCTAACTGGCAGGCGTGTCTATTCTCCACAAAACTCTTTCACCTGACATAGCGATAGCCGACCGTGTTCACCTACTTGGAATGGACATGTTGTCCAATCTGAACTTCAGCAGATACATTGAATCCATGGCCAAAAATGCAGCCAGGAAGCTTGGCATTCTTTCCAAAGTGAGGGATTACTTCCCACCTGGCCAGTTGCTTCAGCTGTACCAAGCACAAGACAACACTTATGGGATGGCTCTGCTAAATACCAACTGGCCATCTTGGATTCAATAAACATGGGTGCCAAGAGTGTTATAGGTGACTTGGAATTGGTAGAGGCGAAGCTGCGGAACCTTGAACACCTGCCTATCGGTATTCTACAGGATATATCACGGAGAGTGTGCGATGGAATTGCATAATTTGATTCCGCCTTCCTCTTTCCATCGTCGGGGGACTAGCCGTAGGCTGGGGTGCTACCCCTATGTTGGGGATATTACCACGATTCGCACGAAGCGTTTCGCTTCTACACTTATATGGCGAGCAGCTAAGGAGTGGAATTCCTTGCCTGCGGACTTGTTCCCTGAACGCTATAACTAGGACCTTTTCAAGGCGAGAGTGAATAGGCATTATTTAGGTGTGCATGCTACATCCTCGACCTCATCATCACTTTCCATCAGGTGAGATGAATGTCAAATGCGCACATATTTTTTATAAAAACAAAACTTCTACGCTATGATCTTCCTGGTCGTTTACCATACAGCCAGAGTATTTAAAAGAACGAATCCTGTCAAGCGACTGGTTCCTGGAGTTGAGGACAGCAAACGTCTGCGGAGCATGTCCGACAATCATATACTTAGTCTTTATGACGTTAATATTCAGGCCGTACTGTGTGCTGTTATTAGTTATTCTTTCACCACAATTAATAGCTCCACTGGAGCTTTTCCCTTTGTTCAATAGTCTTGTTTTCATCATGGTGTCATAATATTGTAATCTCCTTTTTGTATAATACGACTCTACTTCATGTAACAATAGAGATGTGCCAGAAAAACTCGCCAGGTAGTTCCCTGCGTACCACAGCATCTGAATTCACTTAAGGGCACACCAAGATAGGAATCAATTTAGAAATGTTCATTTTCAAAATTTTGTCACAAAGGTCATCAAAATGGTACATCACCCCGGTCTTAACCATTCGACCACAGAACGTAGACACTTTGTCGTGTCCATTTGTGATTTACGGTTCTTCATTACATTGTAAAGTTTTCATTGTACCATTATACTAAACAGATCTGTGAGTCGGTTGATTTGAGTTGACGCAGCTGTCCAACTAACAATCGCATTGTTGTTGTACAATTACCAACCAGTTGTTAAACTTCGGTAATAAGCCAGCGGTTTTAGTATCTACAACAAACATAGATAAGAAGAAGAATAATTGAAAGATCACTTCTATATCTTATAGATAGAAGCGATCTTTCTATTATTCTTCTTCTGTTATCGATGGAACATAAATATCGACTCCTAAGTAATCTATCTTCAGCTACAAAAATACGTAAAACATGTTCATAATGATGAGTTAACGATATTTTTATTATAACATCAAGTGACGGGACGAACAAGTCGTGCACCTGATGGTAAACTCACGCCTGTCCATAACAATGGCAGTGCCACTCAGAGCTTTCAACCGCAAAGATCTGAGGGGCACTGCCACCGCGCCTGACAACCTGAGACATTGGTTGACAAGTCCCATGTGCCTGTAATTTCGCCAGCACCATTACCCTTCAAAACCGGAACACAGTAGCACTAACATTACTGCTTGGCGGCAGAAATAGGTAAGGTGGCAGTACTTCCCTGGACGAACTCTTTCACAAGGAGCTCTACTGCTACTAAAAAATAATATGTGGTACCAAATTTATAATTGAGAGGAAAATAAAAGGAAAAATAAAGAGAGGAAGATCAAGAATGTGAACAAGTGAAGAAGAACGTAGTGGAAGAGGCGACACCGACAGGTACTTGCTCTAAAATAAGATCATGATGAAAATTCAATAAACAAAACAATATCACCCCAAAGAACATTCATTTGACCACATTGGGCATTGGATAGTTCTTATTATAAGCGTTATAGAGTTGAATTGAAATCTTAAGTATCAAGCTTGACATGCTGTTGCACTGTGTATACCATATAAAAATATTCTAAACACGTTTCAACAAGGAGGAAAATGTCGACCAAAGTTCTGACATACTACTTTATTTTATATGTATTGTGACGTTGAGTTTGAGTTGGATTCATTTCCAATGTCAATTTGAA